TGTAGAACTTATTGAAAACTCAAGACAGCCATAACATTATGTTTCTTTACAAGTGTATGTAAACTTTTGACCACAACTGTATATACGATTCCATCCATCCATCCATCCATCCATGAAGGCAGCTAGGCTATGAAGCTAACTAGAAGTTGTGTGCCGTAAACAACCATGCACTACAGAGAAGAGAGAAGTACTGAGCCGAATGAGATGGCTGTAGTTGAGTGCTGCAGGCTTTGCAAGACAAATTTAAGAATCAACACAGACTGAACAGCTTCATTCACTTCCTCTGCTGCCATTGCTAAACTACAGGCAGACTACAACTCTAACACAGCGCAGAAAATCAACATTGTTGAGGAGGCTTTTCATGTGCACAACCCACATGCTCAAATCTACTCCAGCATCAGTCTGCCAGATCAGTAGTGTTCCTCCACATAGGAACATCCTTTTTTGAGTAAACTTGTTTTATGAGTCCAAAACAATTTGAAAACTGTTTCTTGTTTGGACWAGCCTGGACTTCACCATACTTCATGGGTTGAGGTGCTTATTATTGATAACTTAGAGCATCAGTTTGAAAAGTCGACTGGACTATCCATGTAAGAACACAGCATTTCATGGTGAATATTATCCCCCCCCCCCCTTTTTTTTTCAGCTCTGCCTTATCCCAGCCCGGAGACATTCCAGTTAAAGCCTCCTCAGACTCAGAGCAGCCTTCTGACAGCAGGGTCAGTGCCAGCTGTGGAGGAGAACTGGGTCAAATGGATGAAGCTACAGCTGGTCCCATCATGGAGAGTTCAGAACCAAAGGGTCCCGGTGATATGCTCCACGCATCTCAGGTTCTGGCTGAAAAAATTCCTACACCTGAAGTGGTGGCTAAAGCCGTCATTACAGCAAGGTTTGTATGAAACATGTCTTTTTTGTATTCTTGCACAATTCTTTATATCATATTGTTATTATTGGTAGTCATATTATGGCTATTCAGTGTTAATTTTGTTTTTTGTGTACTGTCTATAGTTTGTAAAATAACTAGCACGTGAACCTCTGTACGGACGCTGTTGTGACACCTGAATTTCCCCTCGGCGGGACAATAAAGGCTATTCTATTCTATTCTATTCTATTCTATTCTA